TAGGCAGGAGTGGAGTACGACTGCATCGCATTTTAACTTGTATTTCGGAGGAAATTAATATTTGAATGTAAAAGTTTTGACACTCCGAAATTTGCACGTTCCGTAAAGTCAAATTACCAACTCTCCGTGTTCATTGACATCCTTATAACTCTTTAAGAGCTGTAAGCTAAGTCTTCAGTCATTGTTTATGCCTTTATAACCCAAATGGACCGGCAAATTGTCGATCCCGGCCTAAATATAATTATACAACGCGGCGATCTCGACTGGCGACCCGCACTTCGAAATGGGAAAAAATATGTTCTTCGCAGCCGTCCAAATCATAGCTAGACTCCGAATTGTAATGTTAGATGATACAGTTCTTTCACTTAAAGTTCTTGTCCAGTATTGATAAAATATGAATCACAAATAACCCGACAATGTTTTGACTGCCCTTGAAGCTCAGTCAAAGGTCTCTTGAGTGTTTTAGTCTGGTTCCCGAAGTGACGTCACTAGTAGCCCGACCCAGATCCCACTTTGCGCGGTCGTGAACATAGAAATTTCGTGTTTAAACGCCTGTTGAAACGCGGGTATTTTATCAATCGAGATAATTTTTTCGCAGAAGTAATCAGGGAAACTAGTAGATTTTATTAAAGGAAAAAAAGAATTTTGGAGATAGTGGCACTTTAAGTTTCCAGCATGTTTTAGCGCTTCTACTCCCATTTGATAGATTAATACTGTCACTCTTTTTGAATTGACACTACAGTAATGGCATCGATCAAATGCATAATTACTGGTGCAAAAGTTAGCCATTCTCTTGACATTACAAGCTACAGCAACGGTTCAAGTTGACTTTATGGACTTATAACTAAAAAGCGATTCCAGTGACCCCAAATTAAATTTGAGGAAACTGACAAAAATTTGGAAGACAGATTTTTCGTAAACTGAGAAAATGTGAGTTTCTACTTATTCCGAAAGTAGCTCAAAATCTGACTTGTCTCCTAAATTTTCAGCGACTACAAGAAGAACTGAAACTACAAAAGCAATCTAAAGAAGAAGCTGAACGAAGAGTGGTTAACTTAGAAAGAGAGTTAAGAGCTAAAGAAGAACGTATCATAGACCTAGAAAAAATGTTATCTGCAGCTCAACAGAAACTTAATGAGTATGGACTGAAAGAGCCCTGTCATTGGGTCATTTCCCGCGATGAAATTCACCTGACAGATACCTGCCTAGGGGTTGGTGGATGGGGAACAGTTATACTGGGAAGATTCAGAGGCTGTAAAGTGGCTGTGAAGCAATTCCACGAGATGATTATATCACCTCATAATAGACGTTTGTTTGAAAGAGAAATGAACATTGCTTCAAGATGTCGTCATCCTTGTTTGTTGCAGTTCATTGGAGCGACAGATGACGAAGGAAGTCCTCTCTTTGTTACAGAGCTCATGGAATCAAGTTTACGAGCATTGTTACATAAGCAATCTCTCTCACACGCAGAAATCTCTGTCATCTCCCTGGATGTAACTCAGGCACTCAATTACTTGCACAAAAGTGAGCCTCCCATTATTCACCGTGACATCAGTAGCGCTAATGTGTTGCTATGGGGACATGGTAACCAATGGAGGGGCAAAGTGTCAGACTATGGTGCCGCTAATGTCATGCGAGAAAGCAAGACAGTTGGCCCTGGAGCTCCGAACTACAGTTCACCAGAGGCAAGCACCCGAAATCAAACAGTAAAGGTAAAACTGATTTAATATTTACACTTCTTGTGAAAGCCAAGAGATGTCTGTTATAAAATGTGCACCCAATTTATCATCTGCGCGGTATATGTGGCCTCTTATGTAGCTAGAGCATGGTAACCTGCGTTGGTAGCGTGGAATGGGCTGGGAGAGGGGGAAGTCGAATTTAAACGCGAAATACGTGTAGGAGGTGTGAGCGATAGGTGGGTAGGGAAATTCCTCTTCTCCGTGCTTCCCGCTCGAATGATATCTGGCTTGCCCATCTCCCTCCCCTTTGAACGCTCTTTAGTGTCCAGGGCTAGGCCTAGACAGATTCTGCTCGGCAACTTTTGAGCAGCTTTTACGATTTTGAGCAACTTTTGCGATTTTCAGCAACTTTTGAGCAACGTTTGGGAATATTTTTGAGCAACTTTTTAACATTTTTTGAGCAGAATCTGTCTACAATGGATACCAGCGAATTTATTGCTGAGGGTAATCCTGCGATGGACAAGCATCCCATCCAGGGGGGAGTGGAAATAATCCTAGTCGCTTCATGCTGCAGAAACCAAGGTAAGCTCCGGCCTGATGGGCCACTTGGCTCGTATGCAGACGGCATGGAGGGATATTGGGAGTCTGGCCCTTACTCATTCTACGCGTCTCCAACCTTGTTGACTATAAAGCGAATGACCATGGCACGGTTCAAAATCGCTCAACTTTTGTTGATCAACATATGTTGAACATTGTTGCGACTTGTTGAAACGTTGTTGCAACTTGTTGAATACTCGTTCAACTTTTGTTGAGCAACAACTACACATTTTAATGTGAAGTATATATGAAATAATTCATATTTGAAGAGCGGTGGTAGATGAAAGTGAAGAATGATCATCGCAGTAAATTTTCCAATTTCAGCAATTGGAAAGAAGAAGCCTGAAAAAATCAGGGCTTCTGAAGCCCTGATTTTTTCAGGCTTCTTCTTTCCAATTGCTCAGTTAAATTGGAAAATTTACTGCGATGATCATTCTTCACTTTCAACCACACATTTTGGCGCCAAGTTGAAATGGCAGACGAGGAAATGTTTCTGTCGCTTTGTGCTTCATGCGTTGTCGCTGTCATTATGTAGCGTCGACAAGAAAGACGAAAAAACGCAAAATTTGGACGCGTGAATGGCTAAGAAATAGAACCATATTCGGAGCATACTACACCCGGTTGGCAGAACCCAGAAACTTGGAAATTTGAAGCTACAGAAATTCTTGTATCGTACAGGCACAGAACAGTCTCATACAGATCGATCGGTTGACTGATGTTATAGTAAAGTTAACAGTTACTTGTGATAATACATTGTTCGTGGCTAGTCTTACNACACTTAGGAAAGTTTGGGAGAACTCAAAACAGTAGTTCCAGTCCTCTCAAACTTCCACTCATCTTTCTATAACTCAATACCAACATTCTCTATTTTCCAATTCCCTATAATTCATATTGTTTGCTGCTCAAATTTTCCATAAACTATTTATGTTTAAATGCTCTTGGGACATCTCCATATTCTCAAGAACATTTCACAACAATAGTATACATGTACATTCAAAAATTGGGTGGCGAAGATAGTGAACTATGGGGAATTCAGGGCTGTGCTCGAGACTATACTTTTTTTCATATATTATTAAGCTTAAGTGATAGAAGTCACAATATAAGTCATACAAGTTTACATGCACCGGATTTCATGGTTAGGAACCTTTGGGCTCCTCAAAATTTTTGTTAGATCACAGCCTCGGGAAAATTTTGGAAAACAGAGAATGGAAAATGTTTCAAGCTCATTAATAATTTTAAGCAGTCTGCAATATGCCGTGTTAAGAAATCTAAATAATAAGGGTTATTTATTGCAGCTGCCTTTTTCTAGTTGCTGCTAAATTGAGTCTCAATCAGGATCACTTCTCACAAAATCACAGATTGAAATGAAGAACTACTGTAAAATGTGTTCAAGTGCTATGTATAATCTGGTACCATGTGTAATAACTGAATTTTATTGTCAATGTTCATATTTGTCACTATCTTGAACTGCATTTATTTAATAATTATTTTGCTTATCAGATTATTGAATGATGTCTTATTTTGTCTTCTTCAGATCAAATTGATGAGAACTTGCGTACAGCTCTTCAGTTAGATCTGCTAGCTATGGCTCCTGGCTTGCGAGTGCAGGTAAGACAAATATCAAATGAATGACATTTTTTTTGCAATGTGCATAGTTCTGTTGTGAATGTTATGGCTACATTAGTCCAAGCATTTCAACTTCAAGTTTCATCTGTTCCCTGTAATCTGTTGCCATCATAATTTTTAGTCTAATCCCACACAGTGACAAGCTACCAACAAACTACTTTTGATAGTGCTGTCTCAAGCAATTAGGTTGTCCAACAGAAGTGTGGAAGCATACATGATGAAGCCAAAATAATGATTCAAAATTTACAATGTTTCAGAGCACAGGAGGGAAAAACCAACGAAACAAAAAAAAAAAAATTAATGTACCTTTATGACTTTTTTCTTTATTCTACTGAAACATCATGAACTTCAGTCAAACAGCATTAAACCAGCACAACCTATAATAACTTTGGTATTGTTGCATACACTTATAGACTTTTGAAGGGCAATCCTTCTCAAAACAGCTCTATATTCAGTTTGGTAGTGAGGCCCTGAGGACAAAAACAGAAAAAGTGTAGTGTGTTTGACTATGTCTTGTGGCCCTAACTAACTTAAGCCCTACATTGTAGCTACCAAGCTGAACTTTAATATTTATCAAAAGTAGCTTAAGGCCTTGATTACACTTAATGTAATCCTTCCATCTGAATCAGTCTATAGTTTTTCATTTTGGGCAATACACATCATTCAGTTTCCAAATCTGAGTCTTTCCTTTCCTTTCATTCCATCAGTTGAGAGCTGTCATTAAGTTTTGAGTCATCAGTAGCCTTGTTTCCACACCCATAGCAAACTTGTTACTTTTTGGGTGAATTCTATCAACAACAGGCAATTTCACCTGCAGCATCAACAGAAAATCAAGCATAGGGTACTCAGCCGTAACAGGCATTACGGGCAACCTTTGCAACCCTTATTATCAGCCCTGGCAGTTTATGAAATTTAGTTACCAGCTCAGTTGGTTTACATACATGTACTATATAACAGTTACTTTAAATTGTACATCTGTTTGTAATGGTCGGTGTTTGCTAGGCTGATCATTTCACTCTCCTCACCCCCTGAAACATATCACTGTTGAAACACCAGCAACTAAAAACAAACTGAGACAGACTCAAAGGCTTACTTGTGATTGCCTCAACCATGTGTACCATATTCATGTTTTAACAGGCTGTGAGAGTCACCAAACCAAAGATACCAGAAAGCATTAGACGCAACTATGAAGCAATGTAAATACATCTAACATGAAACAGCCATTATTGGTGTAAAAAAAACAAATAGTTCAATCTGTTATTCGTAATTGCAGACTTCGACCATTGATATAATTTGTTAAAGACAATGTATGTCCTTATTTTTCAAAATGTGTTCTTAAAATAGTTTTAATGTTGAAATTTATTGAAGGTTTTAGTGAAGTTAGGTTTATTAGCATTCTTGAATTACTCTTCAAGGCAAAAAATAATTCTAGTGCCAAAGCAAGCAGTCTGGGTCTGAGCCCTGGTCATGTTATAGTGTTGTATAGGCAAGACTCTTCACTCTCACCGTGCCTCTCCCCAATCACTCCCCACTTGCTCCCCTCTCTTTCCCCTGTCAGTAAAACAATACAGTCAGATGGCATGTGGTAAAGTATCCCATCTACATGTACATGTAGGGGAGTAGAAGTAATCTTATTTTTATTGGCAAAAGCTTTAATTGATACTCCGGCCCAATGCAAACTTTACCTGAAAAAAAATATATATATATTTCTAGGAGTTATATTACACAGCACTGAGAATGCAGAGAAATCCAAAGCAAACTTGAGTGCTTGCATTTACACTCTATATAGTAATAAGACATTTCTCCCTGTGACTGTTTAAATGTGCCTTGTACAATAAGGTTTCATCAACTGTGAATCAAACCCATAAAATGTCTTTTTAATCAATCAGTTTTATACTTTTTATTGCTACTTTATTTCCTTTTAATATTTTATCTTTACTGTGTTTCTAAGAAGTGTGTCCAGTGTATTATTAACACTATCTAGAAACCCTGACAAGAAAAAAATGTTACAATTACATGTACTTGTCTTATAATTGTCCTCCTGCATGTATACTTGTAAGATTTTTTTGTGACAGAATGTTTTTAACTTCTGTGTCAAGTGCCTAGCTCAATCAAGTGCATGTCCATGTACATATAGAGAAAGTAAAAAAAGATCTCTTTTGTTTTTTTTTATTATCAGGGAGGGGGAAAAGACAAAATTGTTGATTGCCCAACAGAAACAAAAAGTGGTTGAGAAAGAGGCAGAGACAGAAAGGAAGAAGGCTGTTATTGGTGAGCATTTGGAGGTTCTTTTTACCAGAGAAGATATTTGTTTTATGTTTGCTAAATTTTGTCAGTGGTGACTTGTTATGCAGCTGTAAAAGTCCTATATGTTATTGTAAGTGTTTGAAAGCATAGAATCTCGTCAACCCATGAAGCCAGTACAGAACAAGCACAAGTTTGTTTGTTTTTATTACTTGGTTTCCCCAACAAAATTTTAAAGTGACATTCATTGGCAATTTATTACTGTAAAGGCATGCGCTATTAATAATACAGATCACACATTATCAATTTTCAACTGTGTCATAAACATCATGTTACTTGACACGTAACTTATACATACAGCATGTTACTCAAGAATTTTTTGTCTTTCTTGTGATTTTGTTATTATTCTTATTTTTATCGTGTGGCAAGTTCTAACAATGGCACTATCTGAGAGACCTAAGGGATTTTTTTGTTAATTAGCCTTACCTGATAACTGAATTCAGCTATATGTAACTTACAACTTTTCTTTTTCCCTGGCGTCATAATTCAGAGGCTGAGAAGGCAGCTCAAGTGTCAAAGATTCAATATGATCAGAAAATTATGGAGAAAGAGAGTCTCAGGAAAATGTCCGAGATCGAGGGTGGGTCATTTACCAGCAATATTATTCAGTGTTATTTCTGTGTGTTTGTATGTCATCAAGTTCATCTGTATTTTGGTAAAAGGTCAATGCTCTCACTCCACTTGGCATAATGCAGTGAGGATCTGTGTTTAAATCGCTTGACTTCCATGCATTGTCTTATTTCTTCATTGCCACACAATACTTTGACAACTGACAGTAGGTCTTGATATGGGATGTTTCAGTGTTAGTGTTTGTGTGGCCAAAATTCACTCCTTTTGTGTGTGCAAGCTACTGCTCTAAAGCTGACAACAAACAATAGATATTAATTATTAATATCAGTGTAATAGCAAAGAAACAAACCCTGTCAATGTTATGGCAAAACTAACCCATTGTACTATGTACATGTGTTTGTAAACCAGCATTCCCAAGATCTGTGCAAGCCTGGCCGACACTCGGCTCTCTGTGGCGGTGCTGTGGCTTTCTCAATTCAGGCTCCAGTTGTTTGAAGGTGGGATAACGCTATCCACCGGATAAATCGCTATCCAGTGGATAAGTGTTAACAATACAAACCACTCAATCCACTGCATAGTGATTTATCCAGTGGATAGCATTATCCACCTTTCGAACAACCTGGGCCAGGCCTACAAAATGCACACGCGTGTCTACATGAGTACATTGACATTGTTTACATGGATGTATGTCTGTCATGTTTGTTGTTTTTAGATGGTGCTCATGTAGCCCGTATGAAAGCTAGAGCTGACGCAGAATTTTACACTGCTGTGAAACTTGCTGAGGCCAATAAGGTAGTGTGACACATGTAGTGGAAATTGTATGATTATGACATCACATTAATTAAGTTTGCCTTACTTTGTAAATATAGTCTGTTCCAAGTGTTGGGTTTGTTGGGGAGCAGTGCGCAAAACGACGAAAGAAAAAGTATGTGAGGAGTACGGCGCTCGCTCGATACGGCAGTCACCGGGCCCCATTCTTTTTCTCCCTTCGTCGTTTTCGCACAGCTGCCAGGCTAATGGCTGAACGCCGTGAACAGGGTATGTGAATATAGCAGGTCATCAATGATTGAATGGATTTTAATTCAATTCATTTTAACAGTTAGAAGACTTCTATAATATCATAGCCAAAGTCCAGATGAGTGAAAGTCTGATAATTGATAGTGTTCAGTCATGGTGTCAGATCTCTCTTATCAGTCATGAGTAATCTGGTTATTTTGTTGCTTTGCAACTACAACACGTTATTTTACAAATAACAAGAAAGTTTGCATGTAAGGTTTGCGTGCACTTTAAGAATAAAACTTCATGCTTTGATATTTTCATTTGAATTCACAGTTAATTGATAACAGTTGTCTGCTCAGTGACCTGGCCTTTTAATTGCAGCGAGGCTGGAGGTGACCCTCCACACCTCACTACTTTTGTTGTGTAAATCAAGTTGTTAATGCTAACTACTTTGCATTTAAATGAGAAAAGCAGAGAGATCTGTATCAAAGCAAGGTCACCTCCAGCCTCGCTTGCACTCACTGGCCAGGTAACTGAGCACACAACTGTAAAAGGGTCTGTTGTTGTATTTGGGTTCGTGCCGTTAGAAAGTGGCCCTTGATAAAGGCTATTTGTGTTTTATCAAGTGGCATATTTCAGTCCTAGCGTTCATGTAATCACCATTTATCTGTCCTGTCTTGTTCTCTCTCTAGCTTAAACTGACGCCTGAGTACCTGGAGCAGATTAAGTACAACTCCATTGCCTCTAACACCAAGATATTCTTTGGACCCAGTATTCCGAGTGTTTTTCTTGACAGCAAATTCTTCAGTCAGCCTTCCAGCATAGATTCTGCTGCTAAAAACCAACAAAGTGCGGTATGCTAAGCCACTTTTTCAGTCTTGGAGTAAAATCGTCAGCCACATAAGGTGGTTTAAACGTTTGGATCTGTGGATTTGCATTACAACTGCTTTCATTCCAGACGCATATCGCTGTAACTAGACTTAGATCTAACTGAACCGAATTCTAAGTATAACTGCTACGTCTCAAACTCAGTTTAAAAACACTAACTAAAGAATTTACAATGAAGTTGGCAGTTACTTGTGATAATACATTGTTCTCTTACACTGTTTTGTTAGCGAACGGGACTTTGGGCGCGATGCCCAACGAGTTTGCCAAGCAGAAAGTTCTCTGATGAGTCCCTTGGCCGGGACGAAACGAGCTGCGTAAGACTAGCCATGAACAATGTATTATCACAAGTAACTGTCAACTTTATTGTCAATTTTTACTTTTCACCCTGGATAATGTGACTAGAAAACTTCTATACATTGTTTGAAAAGTAACATAGGTATTCAACCACAAACAAACGCGCGACAATCTGTCATGGGACAGTAATGAATTGAATAGTGTCTTTTAACGTATTATATTTCGGCCATCCATATTTTCTTGCTTCCCACCTTCGCGGGTGTCCTTTGTGAAAAAATTCGTACGCGCGTTATTTCTGGAAATTTCCGTTCCATTTAAAATTTCCTGAATTTTCGGTTGAATGGTTCGCTTTTCGGAAATTCAGCAATTTCCGGATTTTCTGGAACCCTTCCCAGGAAATTTTCGTACCCTTTGTCCCCGTTTCGAAAATTTCGGAATTTTTGGTTGAATGGAAAGGGCCCCTTGCCTAGTTTATCAACTTTATTTGAAACTACTCTCTTAATAGTATAGAGTGCGCATTTTCGGCCTATTTTTAAAACTACTAGTCAAGAATGCGCTCGAAACTTCTTAATTTATGCGGAACATGTCTGGGCAAGTAAGTAGGCTTCGATACAAAATTACAAAGTTCAAGTGCTCTTAGGCCCAGTTCAGACGCCGAACTTTTCATGAGCCGAACTTAATTCGAATTTGGACCGACCCAAATTATCAAAAGTACACCTGTTTATTCAGGCGTCGAACTTAATTCGCCGAACTTTATTTAGTTTAAACCAAATCACATCGAAATATCAGCGATTTTCAGGCAAAGTGAAAACTACTTGTTTAATACGTTACAATAATTTATGCATTAGGTTCGGCACATGAAAAGTTCGGCGTCTGAACTGGGCCTTACTTAAGACGCAGCCACCGACAGAAATCAAATTGCTTAGTTAAAATTACTGGGCTTTAAGTTCGATAATTATAAAACATGATCTAGTAGATTTCTTTTTTACACTAATGGCTTTCCTTTTTGTAGAAATAATAATAAATCAAAGACAGCTAATTAAACATGCATAAATAGGTGTCATATGGCCATTTTTACAGAGGGTCCTCCTCACCTGAAGGGAACAAAATATTTTGACCTACTTTTTTGCCATAATCATTCACTCGCCAAACCCAACATTTGTGCCAAGTTTGAACGAAAACGGTGGTTTGAGCTGTATCACCTCCTGCCTGGTTCTGCCTGGTTTTCTCATGGACACGCTTTTAAGAACTCGGACGCTGGTCACAAAGACTTGAGCACACGTCTCGCCCTGTAAATTATGAGTGCCGCCCTCTGGCTGACTAGGAGAGAAATTCCTGTGCTGGCGTGACTATTCTGAAGTGTGTCGGGAGTTTGTGACCTCATCGCTCATTTGCTTGGGAGCAATTGTGCAAGGGCCAATTGTCTCCCGGTGTAACTAAATACTAAATTCATCCAGAGATAGCGCAGTTAATTATCATTTTAGAAGCCAGGCTTCTTCCGGGTCTAAAAGGGCGTTTTTCACTACTATGAAAGGGTAGCGAATGGTCCTTCAAAAACCATGAGTCTCGCAAAATTTTGACCGAATTTCACGGGTCTCGCAGTCTCGTTTTCTAGCAGTTATGTGCGTCTCGCAGTCTCGATTTTTCTCAAGGCTAAGAAAGTCGCGAAGTACCGATTTGTTTATTTTTTTTAGTAAAGTTAAATGACATCACAACATCATAGAACCTGAACGTCTTGAGTTCGCATTTAAAACACTTTAAAGTCTCGGTCTCGCAATTGAAGAAATCAAAATGTCTCGGGCTCGCAAAGAAAAACGCTAACCTCGTGGTCTCGCAAAGTCTCGCATTTACCCCTCTATGATAATACCATCATTCATCCTACACACCGCTCTCCCCCAGATCCCCCAAGCCAAGCTACTATGACCAACATTACGTTCCTTCACCTGATGATTGTTTATTAACTTTATTCCCAACAGATGGATGTGTACAGTTATGGTGTTCTTCTCTGTGAAATGTGCAACCGGGAATTACCAGATCTCAAACGGCGTGAGGAGCAAGTAGCCCTGGTAACGGATCCCTTTTTTCTAGACCTTATACTGCGCTGTATTAACTATGAGCCTGAGGCGAGACCAACTATGGAAGAGATCATTAATGTTTTGGATCCACAGTGACACTAGCTCATTGTGTCAGATACTGTGTCTCTAAGCAAGGTGCTTTCGTAAAGATCAGAGAAAGAAGATTGAAACCCGAACTGACGAGATGATTTACAAACTTTTCGAGAAATGATCTACAAATAGAAAAACCTTCGGAGAGTATCATAGTATTTTATAGAGGTTTAAAAATAATCTGACAATTAATTTGTAGTTAACAATGTACATGTAGCACAGAATCTAGCTCAGAAGGATAAGAAGCCTTTAGAAAACAGGATATAAGGTTGCTCTCGCTAAAAGCCGTATCATCACTAGTAACTCTATAAAAAAAAGAACCAGTTAATGTTTAGGTGACAATGACCCGAGCAAAGAGATTTTTACCTTCGCTCAAAACTAGCCAGCGGAGTGTTCGGACCAGAGCATTCCGACAGCATTTCTCGCTCTCCCAAAACTTTTTTCATAACCCGAAAGAAATAAAAACTATTTCATATTTCTTAAATGAAGAAGTTTTTTCTAACGTTGTAAAGAACGTTACAGTATTGTAGTGGTTTTCGAATGGCCAATAGTTAAATTCAAGCTTGGGTTCAATTAGTCAAATCAGTGCATATAAATGCTGGTCATGATTCGCGGCCATGGTATATCCGTGTCGACATTATTTTAAGCAATAAAACATATTTTGATTTATTAGCTCAATAAAACCGCGTGGGGTGTTACCGGACGAGCACGACATGAGAGTAAGTTGTAGCACGGTCTCGTCCGGAATAAGAAACCAGAAGATATGTATCTCACTAGATGTTTTGGTGTGTAGTATCGCTGTATATTTTTACGAGTTGCGCCGTATTTTGACGAGCACGTAAGGCGAGTCAAAATACAAACAACGAGTTTAATAAGAGATTTAGTATCCAACTGCTGTAGTCAATATATATCAGTGAGAGAGGGAGAGTGTGACAGTTTTGCGTGCGCGCGCCGACCAGTCCGGCAAACATGTTTGCTACTGTACAAATAACTGTACAATATCGTTGTATAGTTGTACTGTTATTTGGACGGTTTTCGCTGCAGTTGGATAATAAAGCATAGTATTATAATAGTGAGTAATGTTAGTACTGTAAATAGCCTTTGTATTGTACGCATTGAAAGTAATGCTAGTGATGTGAGTAATTTAGACATTGTAAAATTGTAAATAAAGTTTGGAAAAAAAGCAAAATTCCTCGGAAAAATTAAAAAGGATCCAGAAGAACGAGTACTTCTGTTCAGTATACCGGGTTTATGATAAATTACATTCCTCGTGGTACTTAGTTTTATGAACTACTCGGTCTTATTCGAAGGTCCGAGATCTGGAAATAAGGAGCTTAAAAGGAGACGGTTTTTTGTTTTTTGGCAACGTTCATTAAAAAACCTCGCACTAATTATACGTTTAGCCACTCACCGAAGTTTCAGCCTCTAGGTTTTCCTTATCAATGAAATGCGTCTCCAAAGAAGCCCAGAATTGGACACAGTTGCCGCCATTTTGAACAGTACTCAGCAGCCTGGCCGCGTTTTCGTGACGTCATTCCGTCCACGAGATTTTGTTCAAATGGCTGTTCTTGAGCCGTATTATTTCAAGCCAAACGTGCTCCAAACCGCGAAAATGATAGCAGTGAAGATACTGAAGTAGTTTGGGCTTCCTTCAAGACGACTTTCTTCAGGATAGCAGGCACTTCAGAGGCTGAAACTTCAGTGAGTGGAAAAACCCAATGTTTACTCGCTCTAGATGGAGACAAAAAAGAAAGCTTTTCGGAGTGACCTTCTCCTTTAAACAAACCACGACAACGACGGAAACGAGAACGTCACCAAACAAAAGATTTAATTAGCAAAACAATAGCCGTGCATGTGCGTTATAAATCTTTGTACAATTCTTTACTGTCCTCCCCAAAACAAGAACGTGAAATGATTACAGGTTCTGCGTAGTCTGTGGAAGGCGATCGCCGACGGAATTAAACGCTGTCATTGCATATTTAGCCTGGGCACGTTT